AAATGCATGTTAACTCATTAACATGCATTTTTTTTCATTGTTACTTCATTATTTTTGACATCATCAATTATTCCTAGAGGAAGAAAGAGCCTTGGCAGCATTCAATATCTACCTTTTGACATAATGTGGAGTAAATTTTAATAGACATGAAGTGAAGAAAGGATCTATAGAGATGCAGGAGAGGACAGATATGAGAGGGCAGCCATATCAGAGGGTCACTGGACAATCAAAAGATAATGACCCTCGGTGCTATCAAGAGGAGATGCAGGAAAAAGGACTTTGAGGGTCACATCTCAACATTACACCAGGCTTGTATCACCAGTGGTAAGGAATGTGTCAATTGTTAGTTATTACTCCAAGATGTCTCATGATTTAAAAATTACCTGGTGGGAGTAGTTCTTTGAATATAGGCCTTCTAGCATTTGCAAGAATAGTGAGTTGTCCAGTATAATATCAAGGTGAAAAATCCATACTTGGACTTAAGAAAAGTATGTGCTCTTAATTAAATATTGGTTAACAGACACATCAAGAAATAATTCTGTATTAATCTATAACAGAGGTACTGGCTGGGTTGGAACCAAAGCTTGGATAGATATATCATTGCGTGGCGATAGGTGATCTCTTTAGTACTCTGGATCTAATGTAATCTTGAGCTTCAAGGGCACTGGAATCAGGCACACAGCATGAGAGCCCAAGAGAAAAGGCAGTTTTTCCAGAGAGAGAAAATAAAGAGAGAATTAAAGAGCTTTATCCATGATCTTCAAATTAGTAAGAACTTCGGGGTCTCATACATTCCAAATATAAATCCTTGGATACAGAAAAATCTCTAGTTTTGGATTCAGAAAATTTTATTTGAAATCAGAAACTTCCACTTATTAGATTTATAACTTGATCTTTAATCCCTCTGATATATATAGTGGCAATAATAATACTTGTCCTTGCTCATGGTGTTGTTAATCTCATACCGAAATGTGGATGATGAACTCAAAACAGTCACCTTTTAAGGTTATGATAAAATTACTAGTTTATAACCTGCAGTTCTTTTCTCCTATGCTTAGGGGAGAATGATCATGAAAGGACATAGTAGGATTAGTAGAGAAGAATCCCTAGAGAAGTTTTTGGGATAAAGCATTGGAATTGTATATGAAGCCCCAAAAGAGAAGAGTAGGCAAGAGACAACTATCAGGGAGGGCTGATTACAACTCTTGGGACCAGAGGTGAAAACAATGCTGTTGTTTCTGTCTTTTTTTAAAGACAGGGCCTTGCTCTGTCACTCAGGCTGGGGGAGATGGTGTGATCATAGCTCCCTGTAATCTTGAAATTCTAGGCTCAAGCAATCCTCCTGCCTCAGCCGCCCAAGTAGCGGGGACTGTGGGCATTTTCCAATGTGCCAGGCTAATTAAAAAAAAAAATTAGTAGAGACAAAGTCTTGCTATTTTACCCCGGCTTGTCTCAAACTCCTGGGCTCATGCAATTCTCCTGGCTCAGCTCTCAAAGTGATGGCATTATAGGCGTAAGCCACTGTGCAGGGTCAACAATGTTGTTTTTAAGTGGAAAGGAAAATCCTTGATTCCCCCAGGAATGAAACATGTCAGTAGTTTAAAAGTGAAGAAAAAAAGTGAATTTTTGTTGACCATTGGTTCCCAGAAAAAAATCACAGGCAATGAGACCCAAACCATGGAAAAAATTGGAAAAGAAAATTACAAAGCAGTTAATAGTACCTAGGGAATTCCAATAGCCTGAATAATTGACATTATTTCTGAGGGAGGGAGCTTGTCAGTAATTTCAGTGACTAGGAAAGAGGAGTAGGCCTGGCAAAAAAAAAAAAAAGTATGATTGTCTGTGTCTGTGTCTGTGTCTGTGTGAGGTAGTGGAATTGGGAAGCAGTTATAGATAGCTAGAAAGATAGAAAACTTGCCCTGTAAACTACCCACATGTACTCTGTGATTTCTCGGCTCCTCCTATGTACCCTGTACAATGCCACTGAAGGCTCGTCAGTAGAAGAAACCTACAGGCAGCGTCTACTTCTTCTGTAGCCTCCTGTTTCAGGTTTAGAAGGGTATTATCTCAGAGATGCTCAAGCCTACCTACAATTTGTAAGACAGATTAGCTACCCTATGGGTTAAATATTCCTTCAATGACTGGCCAAAAATCTCTAACTGTCACTATAGGTGTGTTTACCAACCTTATATGAAGTATAGTGAGCCTTTGCCAATAGAAAAATATCTTATATTCAAGCTCTCAAATGATGGCAGTTGGATTTTTAAGAATCTATTAATTGAGAAAATACAAAATGCAGAAAGCTGCTATGAACCCAAAATCTTTTAAGTAAATCTCATTATTATTCATCATTATCATAATAAATACACCTGAGAAGTAGTACATAGTATAAAATAGGTACTATACCCTGTGTGTGTGTATATATATATATTATATACACGTGTACTATGCAAAATATAAAATTTATTAAGCCCGTAGCAGATGATTTGTGTGTAAATGACTTCAAAATTTGACTAAGGCAGTGCTTCTTAACATTTTTAAACTATCATCTCCCCAAAGATACCTTATACATATTTATTTTTTAAATTATCCTCCATGAAATTTTAATACTATATACATACTTTATATCTATTTTATACTGTTTATACTATGACCTTTGGAGGGGAGAAAACCATTGTAATATCCATATTTTTTCACACACACACACTCCACCAAGTACCAACTTTTCACCAACTTGAAGGATATATTGCTCCTATTGAGAATGCATGGGCTAAGGAATTTTATACTCATTACCTCATATAATTCTTAAACTGAGTATTATTCCCATTTTATTAGATGACACTGATGCTGAGAGAGGCAAAATAAAGTTATCCAGTTCGTTAGACTCACTAAGTCCACACAAGGACTGCATGGAAACACTGTACATGGCACATTTCCCAGAGCAGCTAATAGGACACTCACAAACACAAGTTGTCCTTAGAGAATGACTGTGTCAAAGCCATGCGTTATGCATAAAAACTGCTACATGTGTGACCAGGTGTTTTTTTTCTTTGACATTAATTGTCTGATTAAGCCTGGAAAGTGTTTGCTGGCTTGGTATAGAATAATTTTTCAGTATTACTGATAAAACATATATTATTTAACATTTTTAAATGTTTTGACATTTTCATTTTCTAAAATCCAAGTAATTTAAAGAAATATGGCTTGCAGAATATTTCCTTCTTCAACACTTTAGAGGCTATGTGAAAGCAGGTTTTACTCTTGAGTAATTTTATCAGGCAGCAATGATATGTAATTATGTCAAGTTCTGTTTTTTTGTTCAGTGTTTTTATCAATATTGTCACAAGAGACAGACGTATAACATGTTGGCACTAAAAAGATTCTTAAGAGATAATCTCAACTGAAGCCCAACAATCATACTCATAGTTAGGAGAACTAACATGAATTAAATTACAGTTGAGAACCTTTCTTCTCAACCAGAGGAATTTAATCTAGATGCCAGAGAAAAAAATTATATTACAGATTTTTAAGTTAGAAGGTATGTTTACTGATTCCTCAGATACTTCCAAACTGGTAAGTCACTAAATGTAGTTTAAAGAAAAAAAATATGGGAGACTTCGGCTTCTGGCCAAGATAAAGTAACAATGACCAGATTCAATATATGAAATAATGGTTTCCAAAACACTGAACATCAGACAACAAAGAACAGTGAACTCTGAGAAGTGACAACCAAATAACTGAGCACTATGATTTTTCAATTTTCTGCATAAAGAGAGTTTACAGGTCATGACACAGAAGAGATGAAATACAAAGGAGTTTAGTAAGCTCCTTGATTTGAGGAGATAGAGGTAAGAGTTTGGGGCAATCAAAGCACTTCATTCAGACTAACAAGAAATAAAGAGATGCACAGAGACATAACTCTCTGCAGATATCTGCAGAAAGTTCTCCTAAAATATTCAGCAGAATACAAATCATCACATGAGCATGAAGTAACTACCAAAGGCTAGGGAATTATCTGAAAATTATAAGGAATAGCATATTCTACACGACTAAAAATAGTACTTATTCCTGCCAGTAAGCCTAAAAAAAAAATAGGGTACTAGATAGAGTAGTCAGAAAGGTCTTGCCTCGGTTATGGAGAATATTAGCTCTAGACTGAACATTGCTCCAGTCCTGCCTAACAAATCATATAAGCAAGACAGGAAGGGATCAAACTATTTCTAAGTAACTTAACTCTCCATAAACTCAGAACAATACAAAAATATACACTTCTTAACAAGGTAAAATGTAAAATATCTCTCATTCAATCAAGGATTACTTAGTATGCAAAGAGGCAAGAAAACATGACCCATGAAATGAAAAATAATCAATTAATCCAAAACAACCCAGAACCGCCAGATATGTTAGAATTATCAAAGAATGACATACTGTACTTATATTCCATATGTTCTAAAGGAGAAATATTTTAAAATATCCAAATTGAATTTCTAGAGATAAAATCTACAACGTGTGAGAAGAAAAATACACAAGATAGGTTTAACAGATGATTAGATAATGCAAGAGAAAATATTAGTGAACTTGAAGGAGTAATATTAGAAACAATCCAAAATGAAATCCATTGAGAACTAAGAATCCAAAAAATTGAAAAGAGCATCAGTCAGCTCTGGGACAACTTCAAGTGGCCTAATATAGAGATAATTGGAGTCTTGGAAAGAACAGAGAGAAGAAAGTTCAGAAAATATATTTGAGGAAATTCTGGCAGACAACTTTCCAAATTTCATGAAAACCATAAAACACAAATTCAAAGAGCTCAAAGAATCTTAAGCATAAGAAACATAAAGAAAACTATACTAAAGAACCAAATTGCAAAAAACCAGTGATAAATAGAAAATATTAAATGTGACCAGAGAAGAAAAATACATTACATACAGAGGAGCGAAGATAAGTAAGACTTCAGATTCCTCATTGGAAACAATGCAAGTGAGACAATAGGAAAAACATTTTAAAAGTACTTAAAGAATAAAACAGACAACAACAAAAAAACCTGTCAACCTAGAATGCTATAGACAGTAAGAATATCTTTCAAAAAATGAAAGTGAAATAGAAACGTTTTCAAGCTGACAAAAGGTCAAATAATTCATCATCAGAATACATGAACTCTAACAAATGTTAAAGATTATCCTTAAGGCACAATGAAAATAATAACAAATAGAAATCTATATCTACATAAAATATTATAGAGTACTGGAAATAGTAACTACAGACAGTCCCTGACTTACAATGGTTTGAACATCCAGACAACAAAGGAGAGTAAACTCTGAGAAATGACAACTAAATAAGGTGAGCACTGTAATTTTTCAGCTTTCTGCATTAAGGGAATTTATAGGTCATGACACAGGAAATATGAAGTGAAAGGAGCTTAGTAAGCTCCTTGATTTGAGGAGATAGAGATAAAAGTCTGAAGAGACCAAAACACTTCATTCAGACTAACAGGAAATAAAGAAATTTTGGGGAGAAAGTATTTACAAACTATCCATATGACAAAGGATTATGCCAGAATATATAAGGAACTCAACTCTATAAAAAAAATCTAATAATCCAATTAAAATGGGCAAAAGATTTGAATAGACATTTCTGAAAAGAAGACATACAAATGGCAAAAGGCATATGAAAAAGTGCTCAACAACACTGATCATCAGAAAAATGGAAATCAAAACTAAAATGAGATATCATCTCACTCCAGTCAAAATGGCTTTTATCCAAAAGTCAAGCAATAACAAATGCTGATGAGTATGTACAGAAAAGAGAACTTTTCTTCTGAAGTTTTTTTCTGGTTTAGGGTTTTACATTTAAGTCTTTAAACCACCTTGTGTTAATTCTGAATGAGATTTCATTCATGATTTGGCTCTCTGCTTGTCTATCGGTGTAAAGGAACGTTTGTGGTTTTGCACATTGATTTTGTATCCTGAGACTTTGCTGAAGTTGCTTATCAGATTAAGGAGTGTTTGGGCTGAGATGATGGGGTTTTCTAAATATAGAATTATGTTGTCTGCAAACAGAGACAATTTGACTTCCTTTCTTCTTATCCGAATGTGCTTTATTTCTTTCTCTTGCCTGATTGCCCTGACCAGAACTTCCAGTACTATGTTGAATAGAAGTGGTGAGAGAGGGTGTCCTTGTCTTGTGCTGATTTTCAAAGGAAATGCATCCAGCTTTTGCCCATTCAGTGTGATATTGGCTGTGGGTTTGTCATAAACAGTTCTTATTATTTTGAGGTATGTTCCATCAATACCTAGTTTATTGAGAGTTTTTAACATGAAGTGATGTTGAATTTTACCATAAGCCTTTGCTGCGTCTATTGAGATAATTATGTGCTTTTTGTCATTGGTTCTGTTTATGTTTACTGACTTGCATATGTTGAACCACTTGCATCCCAGGAATGAAGCTGACTTGATCATGATGGATCAGTTTTTTTGATGTGCTGCTGGATTCAGTTTGCCAGTATTTTATTGAGGATTTTCACATTGATGTTCTTCAGGGATATTGGCCCACATCAGAAAGCTAGAAAGATCTCAAATTGACACCCCAACATCACAAATAAAATAACAAGAGCAAACTGATACAAAAGTTAACAAAAGACAAGAAATAACTAAGATCAGAGCAGAATTGAAGGAGATAGAGATTTAAAAAAACGCTCCAAGAAATCAATGAATCAAGGAGCTATCTTTTTGAAAAGAATAACAAAATACATAAACCATTATCTAGACTATTAAGAAAGAAAAGAGAGAAGAATCAAATAGACACAATAAAAATGATAAAGGAGATATCACCACTGACACCACAGAAATACAAACTACCATCAAAGTATGCTATAAACACCTCTATGCAAATAAACTAGAAAATCTAGAAGAAATGGATGAAGTCGTGGACACATACACCCTCCCAAGATTAAACAGGGAATAAGTTGAATCCCTGAATAGATCAATAACAAGTTTTGAAATTGACGCAGTAATTAATAACCTACCAATCAACAAAACCCCAGGACCAGACGGATTCACAGGTGAATTCTACCAGAGGTACAAAGAGGAACTGGTACCTTTCCTTCTGAAACTATTCCAAACAATTGAAAAGGAGGGACTCCTTTAGGACTCCTAAACTCATTTTATGAAGCCAGCATCATCCTGATGCCAAAACCTGGCAGAGACACAACAAAAAAAGAAAACTTCAGGAAGTTGTAGTTTCAAACCTCCTTGAATTCTATTTGCATCAAATAAACTATTAGTTTGGCACAAGTTGAATATCTCTCAAAAACTTCAAAAAGCAGGTAACTATATTTAAATAGTATTGTTTTGTTTATCATTTTTATCTATGTTTGTACAGTAATTTTTATAATGGTTAAACATTACAGGCTTTGAAGTTACTCAGCTTGAATTAAAAAAAATACAGGTTTGCTAACTATTGACTGATTTCTTGGGTAGGTTGGTTCTGTGTCCCTTTGCTGTCATTTGTACATGTGTCTAATAATGGTACCTACTTAATGGGGTTAATGTGAAGATCAAAGAGCTAATTCATGGAAAACAGTATAGTATGAAGCACTAGGAAATATTTAATAAATGTCAGCTATTGTACTTAATTTTAGGAGGTGATAATGGTTTTCCATTTTAGCAAGGAGTTAACTTTATGTTAAAATAAAATTTGAGAAATAAAAAAAATAATGGTCAATGTATAGAAAAATATTATATATAGTTAGTAGAAGGCGATAGCTAACATTATGATGGTGGTGACTAAACTTTGGAAAGTGTCATGCTAGGCTGTTAGTTATAAATGAGTTAACCAGTTCTGATAGGATCACCAAGAGGCAATGCCTTCCAAATCAAATGTTCCATGGAAATACTTCAAAATTTCTTAGTGACCAGTGAACTTATTACATAAGTTGGCACATGCCAAACACTCCATAAATATTTGTTGAATGACCAATTAATGTTTTTAACTGATATACAGATCAATAGAATTTTCTTGACTAAAACTCACCTTTTCTATTTTACTTTTTAAGGAAAATATTGAGTTTATTTTCAGCCATCCCATAGCCTAACTCTATGCAGACTTAGGGTGGATTTTTCTAGTCATAATAAATGGCAACTTTGCCAACTATACATTAATATTCAAAGCATATGGATTTTCTTGCAAGCAGCAGCAGCAGCAATAGAATGTTTCATGGCTGACTCACTAGAGAGCTCTGTCCCAAAATGTTACTTGCAGAATTGTTGCTACAATCTTAGCTGAGACTATTAACAGCTGAGGAAGTTGAAGACATACACCCTCTCCCTACTTTTCTATGAATTCCAAGTTCTATCCTCAGACCAGATAAAACCAATAGATGACTGTTTACCTGAATCTCACTACTTAATATCCTCTAAATATGTCTTCATTGAGGTTTTTTGTTACACCTCTGAAGTTTATTAACAGTATTAATAACATAACCTTTTTTAGGGCATGCTGTTGGATATTTTCTTTAAAAATCCATGCTCACAAACACTGTTTGTTGTGAAATATCTCTTATATAAAAACCTGCTGTGCAAATTCTTTTCAGAAAATGAATGAGCATCCTTCATTTTATTATAAAACAAAATTTATTTGACTTACGGAATTTCATTTTTGCTCCTGAATTATGGAAAGCTTGAAACTGAAGTTAATGTCCTTTCGCAGTAACACATATTAGCTTGGGTTTTTAAGGGAATATATACTTCCTATTGCTATGACTTTTATTTTAAATTTCTATTTTAATAAAATGTTTTCTAGATTTATTTTATTGTAAGCCATCGATAATCTTATTCAGAAGCAAGAAGTGCTAGAAAGCAGTTTAGGCAGTTTAGAAAAAGTGCACACTCAAACTCTCCGTGTTCAAATCCTAGCTCCATTGCTTCTCAGCTGCTATTCTGACATTTTGTTTAATCTTTCTGTGCCACATTTTTCTTATCAATAATGTGGGTACAAAAATAGGAAGTTTATTGGCAGGATTACATCAGTTAATGTTTAGTATAGTACCTGGCAAATCATAACTGAAAATAAATATTAGCTATTTTTCAAAACTAAGGAATGTGACAAATAATGAACAGGATATAATCATTATGAAGAATAAACTGATAAAGAATTGGTATAGCTAAAAATTAAATGTTGAGTTTTCTCACTTCCAAAACTAATGTACCAATTTTTTGTAGGTTTGTCATTTGCCTAGGCCTAGTTCTAGTATTAGATATGCCATGAGGGAGGGCATGTTCAGGGCTGGCTTAATTCAACATTTAATTTATTCAGTGTCTATTATATTCTTCACATATGCTCTGGGCTCTAGGGATACAGAAATAAACAAAACAAAGTCCTAGCCCAATGAATAACTTTCTAGGTTTAAGATGGTCTAAGAGAAAAAAGGCTAACTTCAGGGAGAAATAGCATCCAAACCTCAGAGAACGCTAATATAGAGTAATTCCAAGAGAAAGTATGTGACCTGGAACTTCTACTTCCAGCTGAGATAGGATAACAAGAAACAGAATTACTCTCTTGACTTAAACAACTAAAAAGCTGGACAAAATATATGAGACAGGTTTCAAATCTTTGACAACAGCCAGCACAGTCCAGTGATCACTGAGAAAAGAAAAACAAACTTTTCCAACATATTGCCTAGAGGTAGTTTCTAGGTCATAGACAATGTACAGAATGATACAGGATTATATAATAAAGAGATCTAATTCTTTTCTTGGGTAGGGATTCCACGGCTTCTCTTGGCAGATCAAGTCTAGTCAACTCATTCCTTCCCACACTGGCAATATACATTTCAGTCAATGACATGGATGAAGGTGGAGATCGCATACATGACAGGAAGTTGGGAGGGATGTGCTAAGTGATGAAGTCAGGATCCAAAACTATCTGAACAGGCTGTGACCAAATTAAACATAGCAAGATGGGCCTAAATATGCATATAGCTAAATGATCTGTTACTTGATGGAAAGAGACGTTTGCATATCAGTGTGTATGAAAGATAAATGAGGGCTTTAGGTCACAGTGAAGGTACTAACAAAACATTAATGCTTAGGGTGTTTTCAAATAAGAATATAGAATGAGAACTGTGATAATTCCATCCAATTAGACCATAAATGACTATTTTTTTCTATATCAACATATTATTTGATTTGAATCAATTTTGTGTAATTAAAATGTTACTCTGGCTTCAAGTCAAGAATGAGTTGGAATTGGCTAGAAGCAAGGAGATCAGTTAGGAAGCTAATGCAAATGCCCCAGTAAAGGATTATAAAGACTGGATTATAGTTTGAATGTGTGTGAGAGGGTAAGGGAAAGAGAAGTCAAGAATGAATTCTCTGTTTCTATTTCTAGCAACTGGGAGAAGAACAATGTCCTTTATCAAAGAGACAATTCTGAAGAAGGAGCATATTGGGAGAAAGATAAAATAAATCCAACTATGGTTATATTACACTTGAGATGCCTATGAAATATCCTAATGGAGCTGTCAATGTGATAAATGCACAGGTCTAGAGCTCAGGGGAGAGTGCCAGCAAGATATTGGAGTTTTTACCATGTAAGTGGTAATAGAAGTCATGGATGCATATAAAATAAGCCCTGTCATACCATAGTAATCTAAGTATACTGTTTGTTTCTTACTTGTCTGTATGCTCAGTAGTTTGTTTCAAGGTGTTTCACATATATCTGTGTGCTGTAAGAGATGCTCATAGTCTTTGATTTCCCATATATTACATCTGCTTCTTTCTAGCTTCTAAAATAAGCCTCTATACACAGTACATAACACTGCAGACATTTTCAATAGAGAAACCAGAAAACATTACTCTTGTTCCAACTGGTGTCTGGTGAGGATGCACTTTTTCTCCCTTACAGGTATAGCATTCCACATTTGAGGCAATGGATTTCTAAGGAATTACAGGAATTTTGAAGGACTTTTTTTTTAACCATGATGTGTATCCTGGCAAAATAAATATGCATTCTCTTATTAGAGCAGGCAGCCAGGAATGCAGCACTCTGGGAAATCCCTGAAGTAATGAGCTCTGCAGTGTAAAGATCCATGTGAATCATTTTCAGGCACAAATTGATTGAGCTTGTCCCTAAATGAGAAATGGTTTTATGGAGCAAACATCTGTGGCCTTGGTGGACCTCAAAAAATAAACTTACATTTGAAAGTTTTTTAGTTAATACCGGGAAACAACTGTTGGGTGTGTGTGTGTGTGTGTGTGTGTGTGTGTGTGTGTGTGTGTGTGTGTGTGTGTGTGGGTAAGATGTGTTTCTGCAGAATCCTACTCCACCAGGAAACATGAGTTTTACATTAAAGTTATTTGCCTTTCTGTACATGACTTTGCCTTCAGTCTTTCACTTGCTGAAGCTGCAGTGCTGCTCTATTCTGATGTTACTTCAGTGCAGATGGAGGCATGTCTTTTGGCAAGGTTCTGTGTTTATTATAATCTCTGTGATGTAAATTTCTTCTTTAACTTTCTCTTTAAATACTTAGAATTATGAATGTGATTTTAATTAAGGATTTCAAATAGAAACATTTCCTTTTTCTTAAGACAGTTTTCAGTTAGAATATTTTAGAGTTTTGAGAAATACTAGATCCCCAACTCACAAAGTGCACGAAATAATCATAAGTTATTCCTTTAAGCTGCCATGGTGTGGCTGAGGTTACAGGGCATGGATATGAATCACAGTCACAACTAAGTATCCTGTAACTCTTTTTTGCCCCCTTCAAATATCTACACTCTATTTGCAGATTTGGAAAACATTTACTACATTACATCATGGGCATTTTTCTTTTATATAAACTCATGCCTGGTAGGGGTAGGTCTTTGCCAGGCCTGGCATTTCAGATCAGATACTGTTTTTGCCTCTTTTAGACTTGTGACCTTGTCACTTAGCCTCTATGAACCTCAGGAGCTTCATATGTGTAACTCAGATATCCTGCTCTTACCAGGTGCAAAATGAAAATTCAAAATTAAATGACTCTATATGCTCTGCTTCCTTTTGATTATTAAATATATATATAAATTAATATGCTTATTTTTATATAGAAATGACTCTGCAGAGCCATTACAGAACCCAAGTAACAAATGCTGCCCCCAGAGGCGAACTGAAGGTAAGAAGGAGACTTATTTTTCATTATATGTCCTTTTGTACCATTGGAGGTGTTTTCCATGTTTAAATATAACTTTGTTAAAAACAAAGAAGCAAAATAAATGTGAATACAAGCCCCCATCTTGTGAACTGTGAGAAATACTTCTTTTTCTTGGTTTGCTTTTTCAGTTATTCCTAAGATTGCTTTCCCAGTCCTAATTGGTTAATCCTCTCTACTGTCAATAGGAAGTCTGTCAAGCCAACAAAGGATGTAAACCCTGCTGCTCTCTCTATCCCCATAGTGTTGCTCCTCTATTTGAGGACAGCTCTCAGAACCCAAGAATCCTGACCAGAAGCATAGCTTTGTTTATTTCCAGATCTAGGACTGCACCCTCCTTTCTCCATAGTCTCTGGCCTCAGCACAGGCTGCAAGCAGCTGTGCAGGAAGAACAGAAAGAATGATGAACTCATAGAATTGCCAGGTTTTTGGGAGGTTTACTCTTGCTGGAAGCGGTTGACTCTTTTCTTATGGATAGGGATTCCATGGCTTCCCTTGGTAGATCAAGTCTAGTCAACTCATTCCTTCCCACACTGGCAATATACATTTCAGTCAATGACATGGATGAAGGTGGAGATCGCATATATGACAGGAAGTTGGGAGGGATGTGCTAAGTGATAAAGTCAGGATCCAAAACTATCTGAACAGGCTGTGACCAAATTAAATATAGCAAGATGGGCCTAAATATGCATGTAGCTAAATGATCTGTTGCTTGATGGAAAGAGATGTTTACATATCGGTGTGTATGAAAGATAAACTAGGGCTTTAGGTCACGGTGAAGGTACTAACAAAACATTAATGCTTAGGGTGTTTTCAAATAAGAATATAAAATGAGAACTGTGATAATTCCATCCAATTAGACCATAAATGACTATTTTTTTCTATATCAACATATTATTTTTGAGAGAGACAGTAATAAACTGCATTTATAGAAAAACAATCAAAATGGAGAAGAACATGAATCATTGTGATGATGTTTAGTTATGATAGCTAGCATTTGTTTACCAGTTTCTATGTACCAAACATTCTCTTGAGTGCTTATACTAGTTTTTGTTGTGTAAGTGTAGATTACATTATTTGTTATTAAATATTCATTCCTCCCTCCCCTGCATCCATTGGAAGTGTATACTCTTCCACCCCATTTGATGTTGAATGTGTGGCTATGTGACTTGTTTTGGGCTCCTGGTTGGCAGAGTTTACTTCCCCTCCTCTGGACTTTGGACTTTAGCACAGGACTTCCTCTTATCAATGGTAAGCTAGAAGAGGTGGGAGGCAAAAGCCCAGCTTTTTGTGTCTCTTCCCTCCTACATTCCTGCCTTTCACCATCAGATGAACATGCCTTGGGCAGCTGCTAGTCTGAGTAAGAAGGGGCATATCTGGAGAAGACCCAGACTCAATCTGCAGCCATTGGAGTGAATTCCAGCCAAGACCAGCGTAGATCAGTTGAATCTCAGACAACCTCTAGACAAGGGAGCTAGAAATAAATGCTTATTGTTGTACACTATTGAGTTTTGGGGGAGTTTGTTACACAGCACTATTATGGCAATAATTGATTAATATATTAACAGACAACCTCAAAGTCTCAATGACTTACAATTTTTTTTTTCTCAATTACATGAGTCAGTGTGGCCCTGCTAGACATGGCTAAAATAGGCTAGGCTTGGTTTCAGGGTGTAGACTGGATTCAAATCAGCTTTGTGTGCTTTCTTATTTTCCATATACTAGTGACTTTCTGGGGCATATTCTTATAGAAGACCATTAGAGTATAAAAGGCTAAAAAACCGTGCAAGTATATTAAAGTTTCTCATTATATCACTTCTGCTAATATTCCATTGGCTAGAGCCAGTCATTTGGCTAAACTCAACATCACTGAGACAGGAAAGTATGCTCCACTCACAGTAGTGGGCCCTGCATGGTGGCAAAGAAGATAAATGTCAAATATTTTAACACAGAGAGTTTATGGAACGTTCAGAACAATGACTGTCCAATCTAGCCCAGTGGTCTATACAAATTGTTTATTTGAATCTTTACAACAATACTATGGAAGAAACACAATTTCCCTATTACAGTTTGGGGAAATTGAGATACAGAAAGGATAGTAACTATTCAAATATCATATTGTTAGCAGGTTGTTGTCATAAGATTTGAACCTTAGGAGTATGATGACAAAGACTGTATAATTTAACAGTCGGTTTCACCTCCTTCCAAAGATGCCCTATGATCAATGTCTAAAACATGCAGAGCTGTTTTTCATGGAGAGGAAAAGCCATGTGTTGACCATCTTCCTAGCTCTGAAGGGCTATCATATGGAAAAGAGAGATAAGATTTGTTTTATGTGTCATAAAAATGTGGTACCCTTGGTAGAGGTAGTGGGTAGAGAGATCAAAGGATTATACATTTTGGCACAATTTAAAAAAAACTTTTTTAACAGTAAAAACCTCTCAATGATGGCATGTATCCAAGTAAATACCTAGGTGACTACAAGGCATGGATGTTATAAAGACGATTCCAAAATAATATGAAAAATCAAGTTAGCTTGAAAGATAGTTAAAACTTTAAGAATTCTTTCAGCCAAGAAACTCTATAATTCTATGAAAATTATTCTAAAAACATAGACGCAGTCATTCTCAGTTAATAAAAGCTTTCATTACAGTAGTAATAAAGCAGAGTTTTTCAATGTCCAAAACAGCTAGAAACTTTTGGAGCTAGCTAATAATTAAGAATCTTGGCTGGGTGTGGTAGGTCAAACCTGTAATCTCAGCACTTTGGGAGGCCAAGGCAGGAGGATCACTTGAGGCCAGGAGTTCAAAACCAGCCTGGGCAACATATCATGACCAACTTTAAAAATACAAATAAATTAGCCAGGCATGATGACATGTGCTTGTAATGCCAGCTACATGGGAGGCTGAGGCTGGAGGATTGCTTGAGCCCAGGAGTTCACGCTTGTAGTGAACTATGTTTGTAGCACTGCACTCCAGCCTGGGAAACATAGCAAGATACCAAATCTAAAAAGTAAAGTAAAATAAAATAATAACCCTACAATGACCTCTAACTGTTCAAATGAAAGAGAGTCACATGTTTCTCATTTTTAAATCAAAAGCTCAAAACAATTAAGCTTAGTGAAAAAGGCATGTCTAAAGCTAAGGCCCAAAGCTAGGCCTCCTGCACCAGTTAGCCAACTTGTTAATGTAAAGGAAGAAATTATTGAAGAGCATAGAAATTTCTCCTCCAGTGAACACAGAAGTTATAAGAAAGCTAAGCAACCTTATTTCTGATATGGAGAAAGTTTTAGAGGTCCAGATAGAAGGTCAAACCAACCACATCAATCTCTTAAGCAAAAGCCTAATCCACAGCAAAGCCTTACCTTTCTTTAATTCTTTGAAGGCTAGAAGAGGTGAGGAAGCTGCTGAAGAAAATTTGGTTCATGAGGTTTAAAAAAAGAAGCTGTCTCCAGAACATAAAAGTACCAGATGAAGCAACATGTGCTGATGTAGAAGCTATAGCAAGTTCTTCAGAAGATCTAGCCAAGATAATTGTTGAAGGTGGCTACACTGAACAACAGATTTTCAATGTAGTTGAAACAGCCATCTATTGGAAGCAAGTGCCATCTACGACTTTCATAGCTGGAGAGAAAAAGTCAATGCCTGGTTTCAAAGCTTCAAAGGACAGGCTGATTCTCTTGTTAGGGGCTAATGCAGCTGGACTTGAAGTTGAAGACAGTGCTCATTTACCATTTCAAAAGTCTTAGGTTGCCTAAGAATTATGCCAAATCTACTCCGCCTGTGCTCTATAAATGGAATGACAAAATCTGGATGAGAGCACAGCTGTTTAGAGCATGTTTTACTCCACCAGTACCCAACCTGTTTGGCACCAAGGATTGGTTTTGTAGAAGACAATTTTTTTGTGCATGGTGGAGGTTGGGGAGTGTTGGGGAAGAGGATGGTTTCAGGATGAAACTGTTCCACCTCAGATCATCAGGCATTAGTTAGATTCTCTTAAGGAGCATGCAGCCTAGATCTTTTGCATAGATCCCTCTGATAGAGAGGTACTAAAAGATTCATGACGGTTTTATGCCTGCTAATCCAATATCCATTCTAAAGCCCATGGATCAAGGAGCAATTTGGACTTTCAAGTATTATTATTTAAGAAATACATTTTGTAAGGCCAGAACTGCCATAGGCAGTGATTCCTCTGATGGATCTCAGCAAAGCAAACTGAAAACCTCTGGAAAGGTTTTACCATTCTACATATCATTAAGAATATTTGTGATTCTATAAATGTAATCCATTACATAAACAGAACCAAAGACAAATATCACATGATTATCTCAATAGATGCAGAAAAGGCCTTTAAACAAAATTCAACAGCACTTTATGCTAAAAACCTCAACAAACTAGGTATCAATGGTACATATCATAAAATAATAAAAGCCATTTATGACAAACCTACAGCCAACATCATACTGAATGGGAAAAAACTGGAAGCATTCCCTTTGAAATCTGGGACAAGACAAGGATGCTGTCTCTAACCACTCCTATTCAATATAGTATTGGAAGTTCTAGCCAGAGCAATCAGGCAAGAAAAAGAAATAAAGGGTATTCAATTAGGAAAGGAGGAAGTCAAATTGTCTCTATTTGCAGACGACATGACTGTATATTTAGAAGACCCCATTGTCTCAGCCCAAAATCTCCTGAAACTGATAAGCAACTTCAGCAAAGTCTCTGGATACAAAATCAATGTTCAAAAATCACAAGCATTTCTATACACCAATAACAGACAAACAGAGAGCCAAATCATGAGCAAACTCCCATTCACAATTGCTACAAAGAGAATAAAATACATAGGAATACAACTAACAAGGGATGTAAAGGACCTCTTCAAGGAGAACTACAAATCACTGCTCAGTGAAATAAGAGAGGACACAAACAGATGGAAAAACATCCCATGCTCGTGGTTGGGAAGAATCAACATCATGAAAATGGCCATACTGCCCAAAGTAATTTATAGATTCAATGCCATCCCCATCAAGATGTCAATGACCTTCTTCACAGAACTGGAAAAAAACACCTTAAACTTCATATGGAACCAAAAGAGAGCCCACATAGCCAAAACAATCCTAAGTAAAAAGAACAAATCTGGAGGCATCATGCTGCCTGACTTCAGACTATACTACAAGGCCACAGTAATCAAAACAGCATGTTACTGGTACCAAAACAGAGATATAGACCAGTGGAAGAGAACAGAGTCCTCAGAAGCAACACCACACATCTACAATCATCTGATCTTTGTCAAACCTCAGAAAAACAAGCAATGGAGAAAGGATTCCCTGTTTAATAAATGGTGTTGGGAAAACGGCTAGCCATGTGCAGAAAGCAGAAACTGGAATCTTTCCTGACACCTTACATTAAAATTAACTCCAGATGGATTAAAGATCTAGACATAAGACCTAACACCATAAAAATCCTAGAAGAAAGCCTAGGCAAAACCATTCAGGACATAGACATAGGCAAGGACTTCATGGCTAAAACACCAAAAGCAATGGCAACAAAAGCCAAAATAGACAAATGGGATCTAATTAAACCCCAGAGCTTCTGTACAGCAAAGGAAACAATCATTAGAGTGAACTGGCAACCAAAGGAATGGGAAAAAGCTTTTGCAATCTACCCATCTGACAAAGGGCTAATATCCAGAACCTACAAAGAACTAAAATAGATTTACAAGAAAAAAACAAACCCATTTAAAAGTGGGCGAAAGATATGAACAGAGCTTTACAAAAGAAGACATCAGTGATGCCAACAAACATGAAAAAATGCTCATCATCACTGGTCATCAGAGGAATGCACATTGAAACCACATTGAGATACCATCTCATGCCCGTTAGAATGGCGATCATTAAAAAATCTGTAGACAACAGATGCTGGAGAGGATGTGGAGAAATTGGAACAATTTTACACTGTTGGTAGGAGTGTAAATTAGTTCAATCATTGTGGAAGACAGTGTAGCAATTCTTCAAGGACCTAGAAATAGAAATACCATCTTACCCAGCAATCCCATTACTGGGTATATACCCAAAGAATTATAAATTACTTTATTATAAGGACACATGTACGTGTATGTTCATTGCGGCACTGTTTACAATAGCAAAGACCTAGAACCAACCCAAATGTCCATCAATGATAGACTGGATAAAGAAAATGTGGCACATATACACCATGGAATACTATGCAGCCATAAAAAATGATGAGTTCGTGTCCTTCATAGGGACATGGATGAATCTAGAAACCATCATTCTCAGCAAACTGACACAAGAACAGTAAACCAAATGCCATATGTTATCACTCATAGGTGGGTGTTGAACATTAGAACATGTGGACACAGGGAGGGGGGCATCACACACTGCGGTCAGTAGCTTGGGGCTAGGGGAGGGACATCAGGGGTGGGGAGTATGGGGAGGGATAATGAAGGAGAAGCACCAGATATAGGTGATGGGGGGACGAAGGCGGCAAACCACCTTGCTATGTATGTACCTATGCAACAATCCTGCATGATCTGTACATGCACCCCAGAACCTAAAGTACAATAAACAAAAAGAATATTTGTGATTCATGGAAGGAGGTCAAAATAGCAACATTAACAGGAGTTTAGAAGAAATTGATTCCAAACCTTATTGATGACTTTGAAGGGTTGGAGATTTCAGTGAAGGAAGTAACTTCAGTTATGGTAGAAATAACAAGAGAATTGGAATTAGAAGTGGAGCCTGAAGATGTAACTGAATTGCAACAACCTCATGATGAAACTTTAATGGGTAAAGAATTGGCTCTCACTCTTGAGTTAGAATCTACTCCTGGTGACAATGCTCTGAACATTGTTGAAGTGACAACAAGGTATTTAGAATACTACATAAACGTAAGAAAGCAATTGCAGAATTTGACTTCAATTTTGAAACAAGTTCTACTGTGGGTAAAATGCTGTCAAGCAGTATCATGTGCTACACAGAAATCTTTCATGAAAAAAGAGTCAACCAATATGGCAAACCTCATTCATCTTATTTTAAGAAATTATCGCAGCCACTTAAACCTACAACCACCACCACCTTGATAAGTCAGCATTTGTCAACATAGAGCCAAGGCCCTCCACTAGTACAAAGATTACAACTCACCACAGGTTCAGGTGATTGTCAACATTTTTTGGCAATATTTTTAAATCAATCTATGTACTTTTTAAAGATATAATGCTATTTCACACTTAGTACACTATTGTATAATAATAACAGAACGTTTATATGCACTGGGAAACCTAAAACCTCATATGACTTGCTTTATTGAGATATTCGCTCTATTGTGGTGGTCTAAAACCAAACCTGTTTATCTCTGAGGTATGTCTGCATCCAAACTACTTTCATCTCTGTTACTATGGTGAAACCTGGAGACAGAGCATAAAATCTGAAAGGTGTTGAAGGTTTAGATGAAGGGCCAGCTATCGAAAAATAAACACCCTCTTAGTATCCATATTATCTGCCAAAAAATGCATAACCAATTTATGAGCATCTTTTTAAAACTTCAGGATGAAACAAAACTAAAAATTTCTTTTGAGATATCAGTATTAAGATATATAAGAATAAGAATTTTATAAAGATGTTTATATATAAGATCTTAGTTCCCCTCCCCTAGGATTATTTTTGCCATAAATTCTTATATATTTCAGTTACAAATCTCCTGTCACATGGTTTTTCAAAAAGAAGAGTGCAGAGAAAATAGTGTAAATATTCATGTATTGTACCTATATTCCAGATACATCCAAGACACATAAGGTAAAAACACCTTTGTTGGGATGAAATAAAAGGCATGCCAATCTAATCTAATAGAACATATTTTTAAAATATAATTACACTATTTTCACATATGCTTAAGTTCACATAAATTTACAGTGCATCTATTATGTATAATGCCTTAACATTACTGCAACACATAATCCAACCTGGAATTAAAGTGTTATTAAGAGACAGAGGAGATACATGTTAATGACTCATATAGAGAGCATAGTAAGATAGTAAGGAAAGAGTGCCATAGTGAAGGCTCATGCCGAAAGTCAGGAAGAGTCAAAGGAGAGAGAGAAAAGAACTCATTAGGAAAAGCTTTGAGATTCATCAGTTTAACAAAGAATCATGGAGTTCCTATCATGGTAAAGACTTAGTGCAAAATATTGGAATAGCCTGATTGGTAAGCTAATCAGTAGCAGAGATAAAAATTGAGAGAATCAGACAAGCATAAGACAAGAACAGAATTTTTTTTTATTGCATTTTAGGTTTTGGGGTACATGTGAAGAACATGCAAGATTGTTGCATAGGTACACACACGTGGCAGTGTGATTTGCTGCCTTCCTCCCCTTCACCTATATCTGGCATTTCTCCCCATGCTATCTCTCCCCAACTCCCCACCCCCCACTGTCCCTCCCCCATTTCCCCCCAACAGACCCCAGTGTGTAGTGCTCCCCTCCTTGTGTCCATGTGTTCTCATTGTTCAATGCCCGCCTATGAGTGAGAACATGCAGTGTTTGATTTTCTGCTCTTGTGTCAGTTTGCTGAGAATGATGGTTTCCAGGTTCAGAATTAATGTATTTAAAGCAGAGTAGGGCTGGTAGGACTCTAGGAGAGCTTCCTTAATTCAACAGAAAACTGGCAGTCAGAACATTTATTAAACAGGGAGTGATAAGATGAATCATGGATCTGGCAGATAGTATATCTAACTATTTAAAAATAGTTTCCAAATTTCAATGGGTAACATTTGCAATTAGTTATATGCATATGAAGATTAAACAATGTAGTCAGATCTTTCTCAATCTTTTCATTTCTGAAGAAGGCAAAGCAGACTTAATGGCTTTGGATCCTCCGTAAATTTATAGAGATAGTACAAAGGAATGCCTCAGAGGCTGACCGTCACAAAAAGTCACACAGTTGAAAGAATTAATATACCAAACAACGAGTTTTCCTATATCACAAAATCTACACCATCACCTCTGATTTATGGTCTTATAGAACACAAAGATACAGAGTAAGTTAATTTTTTCAGGTCAAGGCTAAGAATCATAATATCAGCTTTAATACTGACTAAATTCCAAGATTGGATCTCAGTTTATCTAAATTTCCTCAGGTCATTAACTTCCTTTATTCCTGCAGTGGGAGAAAAGATAATATGGCCTACTAGCTCCATTATTACGTAAAAAAACTAAACAACATTGATGAAGAGGCCTTAGACATGGAAAGTGCTAAATTTAATTATTTACTATTAGCATCTCCTCTCCATGCAGATGTTTCTGGTTTTAAAAATGTGAACCATGTGGATAATACAGGATCAATGAGTCTAGTTAAATTCTGTTTAGTTTATTTTATTTTATTTACAGGATCTCACTCTGTTGCCTAGACTGGAGTGCAGTGGCATGACCTTGGCTCACTACAACCTCCACCTCCCTGACTCAGGTGATCTTCCCACTTTAGCCTCCCGAGTAGTTGGGACTATACACGTGTGGCACCATACCCGGCTAATTTTTGTATTTTTAGTAGTGATGGGATTTCATCATGTTGCCTAGGCTGGTCTTGAACTCCTGGGCTCAAGCGATCTGCCTGCCTCTGCCTCTTAAAGTGCTGGGATTATAGTCGTGAGCCACTGTGCCTGGCCAGTTACATTCTTAAACTGAGAGTATAGGGAAATTACTTATACTTTGAGCATTTGGTCAGAGATCTTTCAGACACAAAATAGGTTGAAAACATTTAAAAAGGTGAGCAAAAAGTTGAAACATCTCAAAACTAAGTGAAAGGGGGAAAAAAAGAAAAATTCACACTAAATGTTATAAGAGATACCTCAGGATTAGGTGGACTGTATCTCTGTGGCATTATCCAAATCTTTAATTATCAAAGCTTAAGACTTAGTATGACTACCAAGGCCCATCACCATCCCAAAGATTTCTAAATGAGCTTTGGAATAAATCTGAATAAGTATTCTTTAATTTATCCTGACACCACCAAGTGCAACTTCTACTTAACCCAGCAAATATTAGTTTAGTGCTTATTATGTTCAAGGCATGGGAGTAAGTAAAGGAAATTAATCCAGAAATGAGCAAATGTGAATCTTTCCCAATCTATGAACTCTCAGATGTTCCTTAAGCAGAACTCTCTATTATCCTTTATAGATCTCTTTAGGAACAAACAAGATACTCACAACTGGGCCAGTGCCCTTTCTACTGAGTTGAATTTCATTCTCAACTTCCAAAAACCACAAGCTAATTCATCAACAAGTTAACTGTCTCACAACTAAAATAAATTGCCTTGTGACAAGTTTCTCACTTCCCCTGAATGATTTTAATTATCCCTGTAGCCAAGAATTGTGACTAACTTCTGTGTCAGAAGTGAGGAGTACATTGTTTAAAAAGCCATTAACATTGTGGTGGTTTCCTTGTTTTTGTTTTATTTTCCCCCAGCATTAAACCTTTGTAGAGTTGGCCTCTCTCCTGGAGCAGGGAACAGGAGGGCAACTAACTTGGGTGTCTATAAATGCCATACACTAGTATGAGTGCTTTAGGTACATTATCTCATTGAACTCTTGTAAACAATACTATGAAGTAGGTATCACTATCACTTTCATTTTTAGAATGAGGCTAAAAAGGTTAACTAACTGGTACACAGTAACAAAACCGGTAAACATATCTCTTTTTTCTAAAGATAAAAGAGTATGCATTCTGTGTTAACATCTGCATTTATATATTCAAATTATAAGTAAGTCATGGGCTAGGGGATTATTAAAAGAAAATATTAAAAGAAAATGTCTGAACTCCATTTCTAGATAGATGGCAAATTAGATACCCTGAACACTACTTGACCTGCATTTTAAAAAATTCTGAATAAAATATAAAAATATCTTGTAAAATGCATTAGTGAGCTGGTAAGAAAGTAAGGACAACCAAAGAGGGTACAAAGTAGGAAATCCATTATGAAAAGTAAGCACTAAAGCCAAAAGCCCTGGGAACATCTCTAACTGCTTGGAGACTCTAAGCACTGGTATCGTGATATTGCCGTAAGGACAGAAGACAAAGTCTAGAGCTTCGAAAGGCAAGGAGTCAGACAGAAGATTCCTATATAAAGCCAGGACCTCAAAGAGCTATACTATAATGAAGTGGTAAACTAGAAAAAGAAGAGGCAACAAAGAAAAAAAATCCCATAAAAAGTGACAACAGGGAAAACTGTCCCTTTTTGGGAAGAAATAGACAGATGGAAAGAAAACAGTTACTTTCTGACAACACATGCCACAGATTAGCCTTCACATAAATATAGAACCTAAATTCACACTAGTGATATAGCTGGAAAAAATAATAATCTTAGTATTTATTCTTAAGTGGGCATGGATTGCTGGTGCCCAAAAGTACCTGGCAAAACAACACTCAATCTTTGAAGAAAACAATCCTTCAAAGTAACAACAGAAAACAAGGCACCATGAGCAAGAAACAGCAAGTACAGCAACAGATACTAGAATCAGACCCCAG